AGAGTTTGGATTGTTGTAAGAAGACATTTTCAAAGAAAAAATTGTTGTTGAGAGTGTATAGTGTGGTGATTCTTTGAAAATGTGATTTGTATATATAGTAGATTAAAAAAGAAAAAAAAATGAAATATGCCAAAACTAGCCGCTGCCGACCGTTTGGCAACGTTCCATTCTTAAAATCGCCACAAAAATCACACGTTTGCCATCGGTAAAGGACCACCGCCGGTGAAATCCCCTTCACGGCGCGGTGTTCACCGGCGGTGAAAGGGCGCCACGTCGGACACCGCCGGTGTCCCCTCTACGATACCGTTTAGCCTAACAATCAAAATCCCCGATGTCAAAAACACCCCCTCCCCCAAATGACGATTGCCAGAACTAGCAATTGTTATTTTATTTGACTGTTGGTAGAGTAAGTCGCTCACACTTTTAATCTCAATTAAAACATCCACTTAACATAGACCCTTACTCGTGAATTTTGAAATTAAATTCCTTAAATTAAATTCTTGAGTATTTATTAATTTCATTATTTTACAACTAAAAATAGAATGTTGATATAATCATTTATAAAAGTCAATTTTTTTGTATGTGTAGTGAAATGATTATACAAGATTAAAGTGAAAAGTAATTATTGGCAGCGAAAGTGATATTGGTGATGTTTGATAGGAAAAGTGGGTCATATATGTTTTGCTCTTTGCATAAATATGTTTCATAATCAGCCATTAAACTGGAAAGGCCGAATATTCATTGGCCAAGGAGAGGATGACAACATATAGGTGTTTCTTTGTGCACAAATAATGAATATAAGGGCGCATATATAATCTTTCTTTTGCATAAAAATAAAATAAAATAATCAGCATCATCTTTTGGTGAAAACTATTGTATCTTACCGATTAAAAGTGGTAATGTAGTGCAACAAACATTAATCTAAGATGTATTTTAAATATTTTTATTTTCTAAAACATTTTATTTAATTTCACTTTTATATCAAGATTGTCAAAGATATATACACTCAATTGTTTACATATCTTTTCTTTGATGTTATTTAATTTTAATTTTGGATTTTCTAACCTCAAAAATCATAACTTCAAATTTCTATCCCCTTATCTTTAGAGAAATGAGAGGCAATGACAAGGTGCAAGAACTAAAGGGGTGGGTGGGTGGGGTGGGGTGGGGAAGCTATCCACCATCAACAAAGGGGTGATCTAGATGTGTTCACTTTTGTTTGATTTGAACTCTATCTTGGATTCAACCTCAACAAAATTCAAAACTTGAGTTGCATATTGATTTAAACTCCATCTTGACACAAAAGATGATTTGTTTCTTTGACTTTCCGAAAAGGTCAAACCTCAATTACCCATAATCCAATTGTCTAAATAAAGAATCCAATGTCTATAACTTTAATTAAAATTTTAGGTTATTTCATAGATTTAAACCAAGGGGAATAAGAGGTTCTGCCATTTAAGGACAGTTATGTCCTATATCTTTAAGGACAGTTGAAGGAGAAAGAGGAAGGGATTGATTTTGCATTATTTAGAGGTATCTATAGTATACTGCTGTACCCAATTGGGAAGGGCTCTGTTGATCACTACTACAGGACTAGATGTCCCAATGTATGTCTGCATGTGCATGAAACTTGACCTATCAAAGGGCCATGGGTCCTACACAAACCAATAACTCTAAATTTCACTAAAAAGATCCAAGGCAATCTCATCACCATGAGCATCTCTCCACTTGTCTCATTACTTGGGACATTTTGCAATTTGCAAAACAGCAAAAAAAAAACCACGAATTTTCTAAAATAAAAAATACATATCTTTTACAAGATACACGTTCACGTTCTTGCATGTTTATCCTAACAGTAAGTACATAAAGATCCATAAGCGCAATGCTCATCATATTCCTTGTTTTAGCTAGGACATAATCATGTTGGCAGCGGAACTGGTTGATACTGCATTCTGTCTTGTATGTTTGCTCTAACAATAAGGTGTAAGATTTTCTAAATGAGATCGTATGTTCAGTATTGGGCATTATCTTCCTTGCTTTAGGACATTCATGCTGGCTGTGAGACTGGTTGGTAAGGGCGTATACATGACACAGATGACATGTACTTTTTTTTTTTTACTATTTTGTGTAGATCTATTATCGAGTTACGTTCATGGAATCGTGAAAAGGGACACAAAAGAAACAAAAATTCGAAAACCAACCAAGAAAGAACCAATTTTTATCCGATCCAAAGCTTTCTTTATAAGCAAATTCACTACTAAAACATGTATTCAATGATAAAGACAATTTCAAACATCAAAAAGATAGCCCATGAAAGAGCAATAGAAAACTCAAAAAGAAGCTTCTTGAAAATGTCCCCATCTCTCCCTTTCAATCCCCAAATATTGAGTATGATATATCATTAGAGAAAAGGGTGTTCCAAAAAAATAACAAAAAACAAAAACCTAATAATCATCTAATAATCCAAACAAACATGATCATACGTCTCATACATCAATACAATTATAATGTTCAAGAAGCCTATTGGCTTCCCGAAGACCACTGAAATAAGCACCATGAGTCGTGGAATAATGAGTTCTATGTGTTGCTTCCCCTGCAAAAAGAATCTGAAGTGGTGAACAACCATTTGTCAATGGCTCCGCTAGTGAATCCATGTCTTTGCTACTTGATCCAACGGCTATAAAACTATATGATCCCATAAACAACGGATCACTCCCCCATCGACTTTTCAAAACTTTATCAAATTTGCAACTTTTGATCGCATTTCCGTTGCATTTTTTATACGACAAGAAGCTAGAAATAGTTGTGGAGACCTCATCAAGAATCACTTCATCCGGAAGTGCTTCAAGCTTATGTGCTTCATCACCTGCAAACCAAGATAATAACACGCTCGACTTCTCATAAATTGGTGACAAAGAAGAAGTTTTTCTGATCCACCATGGAATTTTAGGGTTCTTGAGTTGATCATCGGATTTATGGAACACCATTTGTAAGAAGGGAAACCGATCAAGTTCAGGATCTGGGCTTAGTTTCAAGAAAAGCTTGTTGACGACACCATACCCGAGTCTTGAAATGGCTTCAATCTTGTAATTTGGGAGTGGGGGATTGAATTTGAAAATACCCGAATTGGAATCGGAATCCGTGATTCCGGCTTTGAGAACTCCTAATGAAACGGTGACTATAACATGGTTTGCTGACATGGTTGTGCCGTCAAGAAAATGAATCTTTACGGGTCTTGAACCCGAACCGGGATCGGAATCGGAACCGGAACCGGAATCGGAATCGGAATCGGAGTCGGAATTGGAACCGCATTCAGGGTGCCACTCGATATCATGAACTTTCTTGCCTAATTGAATAACACCAGATGGTAAAACAGATGCTAATGATTCAATAATGCTCGAATAACCTTTAGCGATGGTGATTTCTTCACCAGGGAACATAACATACTCACTTTCGGCTATGTAATCAAGATTATGTAAATCATTAGCAGCTGTAAAAGTTCTTTGGGTGTTTTCATGCATTGCGAAAATCGATTTTTCTAATGATTTCCTATTCCAATCCCCACAACCATTAACCTCGTTTCTTGATTTTAGTTTCTGGTAAGATTCCAGACCTTTTTCAAGAAAAGACCCGACACTTGTAATCCCACCAAGATTATCTTCAATTCCATCTGGTACTACTGATTTCTTTTTCCCTTGAGCAAAATCCATTAAACTGAAAAAAAGATTTGAAATCGGGTCAACAAGAGATGGATTTAACACATACCCATTTTCATCAATGGTGATTGGATCATCAAGGAATCCATTCATGCACTCCCATGGTTTCTCTGATTCCAACGAACCGATTTCTTGAGCAATCTTGTGAACTGGGCTGCCTCCAATTCCATGGATCCAAGTAGCTCCCATCTCAATTCTGTCACCACCGAACTCCGAGGTGTTAATCCTTCCTCCAATTCTATTCCCGCCTTCAACAACACAAACCTCAAATGCACCATTTTTTGCACAGGATTTGTACAGCTTGTTTGCAGCTGTCAACCCTGCCATTCCCGCCCCAATTATCACTATTCTTGGCTTCTTTATAACCATTTTGCCTAAAAACTTGTGATAATTTCTGGGTTTTCAAGAAAGAAAGATTTTATTTGCAGAAAAGATTGTGTGTTTGAGCTTATGACACTGTGAACACAGAGAGGGTTTTCTTTTTTTTTTTCTCTTTGTTTTGAGTGAAAAAGAAACAAGGATGAGAGTGGTGATGAGTGATGAGGTTAAGTTTTAAACGAAGAAGAGAACATAAAAATAATACTTCGTGTTGAAGAAGCACCTAATTCTTTTATTTTTGGAGGACCCAAGAATTTCTTTAACAAAAGAATCTTTAGATTATTTTGAAGTTGTTAATGGTACTTAAGTTAAATTAAGTTGTATTTTATTTACATTATTATTGGTTAAAATTAAACATTTTTATGTTTTGTGAAAGGAAATTACAAAAAAGTACTTTAAAATATGTTTTTGAATAAATGTTTTTTATTTGGAACTGGAAGAGGCAATAATCCCTTCAATGACAACCAATATATTTCTGTCTTTTTGAAAGAAACTAAGGCATACTATATTCGAGAAAGAAGAAGATAACAAAAAGTATGAAAATTTAAATAGTTGCCAAAGATTTGATTTCAATTATCGAAACAAAGCTAGGGCTATGTTTTCTTTTTGTTTGGACATTGCTTACTATGATGTATGGCCAGATTAACATACAGTTTTAATAAAATCTTGACATATGAATACAACAAAACACTCATAGTTACTATAAGATCCTGACATATGCATCATTGTTTCTTTTACAGTTTGTTACACAATAAATTAGAATTTTTTAAGGTTGATTGACTGTATAGCAACTAACTGTTTCATTTTATTTTTGATGATATAAGCAAGGGAAATTGAGTAAACGAATTAATTGTATAGTTTTATTTATTTATTTATTTATTTTTCTTTTAAGAAATTGACCATTTCTTATATTTTTGCAAAATAACCACATAATGTGGAATGAAGCATTTCGGGACCTGTTTTTAAATCGGCACCGACTCCGCCAAATACAGATACGTCTCCGTGAGCTTTGGCAATATTATTAATCAATTCCATAATAAGTATTGTTTTAGCCACGCCAGCTCCCTCGAATAGTCCGATTTTTCCTCCATGGCAATAAGGGGCTAAAAGATCTACTACTTTAATTCCGGTTTCAAAAATAGATAATCTTGTATCTAAGACAGCCACAAATCTACGAACATGAAATGTTGTACTAGTATCTACATGACCTAAATTATCAACATGCTCACCAAACACGTTGAGAATTCGTCCGAGAGTTGCTCCACCGACCGGAACACTTAGTGGAGCACTTGTATCAATTACGTCCATCCCTTTCGTTAGACCATATGTAGCACTCATAGTTATAGCTCTAACTCGATGGTTTCTTAATATCCGATGTACCTTACAAGTCACATGAATTGGTTGACCAGCAATATCTTGACCCTTAGTTATCATAGCGTTATAAATATTAGACATTTTTCCTGACGGAAAGGCTACATCTAGTACCGGACCAACGATTTTGGGCGATTCGCCCCAGTGTCTTTTTGTCAAGCGTGGTAACCCCAGAACCAAAGTTAACCGGCTCGTTAATGTGGTTACCTCTATATATTATTTCGGATAATCAATCCAAAACTGCATTTTGAACTTAGCCTTCTTCTCTAGCCAACGTTTCAAAATTGCAGGAAAACACATTTCAGACATACATTTTTTTAAAGGATGTTATCAGACAGTGAAAAACTCAAGCATGTATAGGTATGTGTCTTTTGTTTATGGATTATTATCTGATGTTCAAAAAATGTTATTGTGTTGTTAGTACTTATTATAGGAAATAATTCGTTTGAACTAGATTTTGGTGCTATTTAGGCTTTTTTTGTGAGTAACAGTAGTTTTAGAACCAATTAGTACAAGAAAAACCCTAGAAAACTTATTCTGGAACGCTCCAGAATGCGAAGAACTAATACGAGATCCGTAGAACTAGTCTAGAATATACAGAACAATGTGGAATGCAGTCTGTAACACATGACATTCTAGTCTGTAAAAGTTTCTAAATTTTATTTGTAGCATAACACTATATACGAAGTGCTGTCACTACAACCTGCAAACCTAAATTGGGTGGGGGAATAATGGCTAAGTTTTACGGCGTCATGTTTGGTCGGGAGTCGATGTGCACATGGGTATAGAATTTCACCATTTACTATGCCATGACTTGTTATGTAATTACGTAGTGATCCATCCTCGGTTTGATGTTGACATGTATCTATTTCCGAAAGACGACTACATGATCTATTTTTCCTACTTGTTTATCTTTCATACAGTTTAGACACCACGTGTTTCCTTTTATATTGGCTTCAAACTCGGTGAAAGTTATTGACTTACAACATGTCTTCTATACCTCATAAAATGATTGATATGGTGAAGATACAATCTGAGTGTCCTTGTTGTATATGTTACAAAAGAAATTTTGTAGATACCCCAGACAGCCAGTGCAGGACAAATACCTTGCACTGGTAATAGATTTGGAGCAATTCAACAAGTATCAAGTAACTAACATTAAAATTATGATGTAATATGTATTAAATGCAAATTGGTGACACATATATCCTTAGGGACGAGTAATTTGGGATTACAAATATAGATAATTGTCCGTTGTCTTTGATAAAATCAAGGAACATCTGAACCCCACCTGCCCAAGGGTCAGCCATAGACCTTCCTATATTGTGAGACTTTATATCCCTTAGTTAGATATCGTGCATCCAAGCAAGGTGTGAAAACCTAAAATCATGCGAAAGAGGTTATTAACTCTTTAAACCTTAGAGGGGATTAAGTACCCTTAGTCGGAGGAGAGATAATCATTCTCTATTTGTAGCGGCTAGGATCCTTGAATTTATGCATGTTGAAAATGTTAGCTTGGGGTGGGCGTTAGCCTAGCTAATGCCTCTCCGATGCTTAATTCAATAATGGTCCTAGAAAAAAAATTTAGAAAAAGTAAAGGGTAAAGAATATGTACCTCAAATTTTTTGTAAAATGAATGATTTATCTTACATGAAATACGCTTTTAGGTGTATAGCATTCCAGGACCTTGGCAAGATGTCTCCTTATAGGGTATCCAACCAATATGCCCCATTCCTGCTTCTGAATCGATAATAAATGGCCCTTCCCATTTGGGTGCCAACTTGCTTGCATTAGGATCCTTAGTATTTTGGATTGCTTTCCTAACGACCAAGTCACCTACCTGGAATCTTCTGACTTTGATATTTTTATTGTATGATTTAGCGATCCTTTGTTGGTGAGCAGCAATACGGAGCCTGGCAAGATCCCTGAGTTTATCGATAGTTTTGAGCATCTTGGGCTAGGATCTCATAGTTTTTCTCCTTATTTTGGAATTTGTATCTTGCCGTTGGGATCACCACTTCAGTTGGGATCATGGCCTCTGTTCCAAACACCAAGGAATATGGAGTTTGACCTGTGGCTCTTTTTGATGTAGTCTTATCCACCCATAGAACGAAAGGAAGTTCCTTAGCCCATCTTCCTTTTTATTCGTCTAACCTTTTCTTTAAATTGTTGACTATGATCTTGTTGCTAGATTCTACTTGACCATTAGCTTGAGGGTGAAAAGGAGTGGACGTTGTCATTTTAATTCCCCAACTGGTGCAAAAGTCTCTAGTTCTTTTGCTTATGAAGTGGGATCCATTATCACATATGACTTCGGTCGGGAACCCGAACCTGGTCAGGATATTATGCTTGATGAATGAGACAACCTCTTTGTCTCTTACCTGACCAAAGGCTTCAACGTTTATCCATTTTGAGAAATAATCTGTCATTACTAGCATGAAGACCTTTCCACCAGGAGCTTTTGGTAACTTGCCAACTATATTTATTCCCCATTTCATGAATGGCCAAGACGAGATGATAGGGTGTAGAGGTTCCGCTGGTTGATGAAGGATATTGGTATGTCTTTGGCAAGCATCACATTTTTGTGCATGTAACAAAGCATCCTTTTTCATTTTTGGTCAGTAGTACCCAGTCCTTATTATTTTGGAGCATAAGGACCTGCCCAGTATGGTTTCCGCAATATCCTCCGTGTATGTCTTTAGAACTTCTGCAACATCGTGATCTTCCAAACATCTTAGATATGGACCTGCCAAGGACTTCTTGTATAACTTCCCTTGGATAATCACAAAGAGTGAGACCCTCATCTTGAATGCTCTGTCACTTCATTATTCTTTTGGTAACGTGCCATTTTGGAGGTATTCTACAATAGGTTTGTTAACGTTACCATGAACGGTCACATTAAATGCAATGGAAGTACAAACGAGAAGTTATCACGTCAGAACCTTGGCCAAGGCCCGGACTTGGCCCAAGTAATCCAGTGTCGGGGCAACAGTTTGTTTCCCTCCATGAGGAACTAATATTCCCCGAGATCTTCTCATTCACTCACGACCAATCAGGTCGTGACAAGAAGCCGTGGTGACGCCCAAAACTGACGTCACCAGGCAGTTAGTTAACGTGGGCATAATTCTCCCAGTTAGAGGAGGCCACGTATCACACTCATTGGACGAGGTCCCCACAATCCGTTAGTAACAGGTATAAAAGGATCTTTTCCGCCTCAAGGAAGGGATCCATCTTCTCTCTCACAAATTTACCCTAATTCTCTATCTCGGTAAACTAATTTGATCGTTGGAGTGACGTTTTGGGAGAGCACCCGGTCGTCCTCTAACGGTTCTTCTATGATTGTGTTATCAGGAAGCTCCCAAGGCAGTTACATCATCGAGCATCCAAACCCCCTGTAGAGCCTGTCACAACATTTGGTGCCATCCGGACGTAACCTCAGAGTGATACAGCCAATTAACGACACTGGTTCTTCACAAAACGACGATCTAAGCCTAACAGAACCTACGCCTGTAGTACCAGATCTGTTTCGAATACCGGTGGCGATAACCAACGAACACCACTGCGAGTATAGAACGCAGACTCCAATCCCGACGCTAATGGTGCAGATCTCACCGACTACGGGGCCAACACTCCAGAGCAGTTTTCGACAACCGTCATCGGATGGCTCATCGCTTCAGACGACGATATCGCATCCTGATCTGCTGCATTAACCCCCGCATGACGGCATGGAAGTACTTACTATCTCTAATTCTCGTAAGAGAAACACAACTCATCAAGCGGAGGACGAGATAGAGGTACTCTCGAGAAATTTACTCAAAATCAGCGCCATCAAGTAGAGATACCAGACCACTGAACTGGGATCCACGAGACCCACTCCTCATATCTGGATTCATTCGTAACACGAAGGTACATCGAATATACATCGACAATGGTAGTTGCTTTGGTATACTCTATGAGCATTGGTTTAGGCAACTACCAAATGGATGGACGGAGGGGCTACAGCTCCCAAACCGTTGGACCATCGGTAGGATTCACCGGGCATAGCTTGTAGCCACTGGGCACTATTCGGATGCCCTTAACGTTGGTCAATCACGGCGAGAAGGACCGAATCACAAGAACGATAGAATTCTCTACGATCCGGTACCCAACAGAACACAATATTCTGCTCGGACGATCAACACTCTCCTTACTGTATCTCGTACCATCGACGATCCATGGCATCGTTAAATTTAGCACACGCCAAGGATCAACGACGGTCCTCGCCACAAATACCAGGGCACAACATTGCCACCAGATCATATCCGCTCCCGAATTGGTGTGAGCCCCAAAGAATTCTAAGGATGGAGGTTCAACCAAACAACATCAGATAAACATGGAATTTCCAGACCAAGTCGTGTGAATTGGCGCTCACCTATCAGACGAGACCAGGGCACGACTGGTAGCACTTCTTAAGCAATATTCCACTGTTTTCGCCTGGAAACCAACAGAACTGACAGGCGTCGATCGGCAGGTTATAGAACACAGCCTCAATATCGTGCCTGGAAGTAACCCTGTAAAGTAAAAGAAGAGGGGCCAGATGGCAGACCGGAACAGGGCTATTAATGCTAAAGTGGCCGACCTGGTGAATGTCGGCATACTCAGGGAAGTAATTTTCACGTCATGGATAGAAAATCCTATCATGGTAAGAAAGCCAACGGCTCGTGGCAGATGTGTATTGATTACTCAGATCTCAATAACGCTTGTCCAAAGGATTGCTACCCTCTCCCGGAGATCGATCAGAAAGTCCAATCGCTTGAAGGTTTTCAACTTAAATGCTTCCTCGACGCGTACAAAGGCTATCATCAGGTACAAATGAAGTGAGAGGATGAGGCGAAAACCGCCTTCCATACCGAGAAGGGTACCTTCTGCTACCAAAAAATGCCTTTCAGAGTTAAAAATGCAGGCGCTACATACCAAAGGCTAATGGATAAGATATTCGTTGACCAAATTGGTAGGAATATCAAGGTCTATGTCGACGACATGGTAATTAAGAGCTACAACGAAGAAACATTGCTCCACGATGTGGAGGAAACCTTCAAAACGCT